TAGGTGCCTTCTTAGGCTGTTAATTTGTGATCCTTCCATTTTCTTCATGTGCATTTGTAGGGATATAAATTCCCCTCTTACTACAGCTTTCCTGACATCCCAGAGATTTTGGTGAGCTGTTTCTTCATTTTCATTGGTTTCCAGGTATCTTTTAATCTCTAGTTTGATTTCCTCATTGACCCAGGAGTTGTTTAGCATCATGCTGTTTAGTGTCCATGTCTTTGTGGGTTTTGGGGGGACCTTGTTGGTGTTAATGCTTATTTTTATTCCACTGTGGTCCGAGAAGGTGCCTGGTATAATTTCAGTCCTTTTAAGTTTGCTTATGCTTGACTTATGGCCAAGTATGTGGTTGATCTTAGAGTACGTTCCATGTGGTGATGAGTAGAGTGTGTATTCTGTGGCCTTTGGATGGAGGGTTCTGTAGGTATCAATTAAGTCCATTTGATCAAGAGTCACATTGAGGTTTTGGATCTCATTGCTGCTTTTTTGTCCTGATGATCTGTCTAGGGTTGTGAGTGGGGTATTAAAGTCCCCAGCTACGATGGTATTGGAATCGATATCTTTTTTTAGTTTACCTAGGAGATGCTTTATGAAAGTTGGTGCTCCTATGTTCAGTGCATATATGTTTAGGATGGATATTTCTTGTTGATGGATTGAACCTTTTATTATTATGTAGTGGCCTTCTGTATCTTTTTTAATTTTTGATAGCTTAAAGGGTATTTTGTCTGAGATTAGGATCGCAACTCCTCCTTTCTTTTGTTTCCCATCCTCTTTGAGTCTGTGAGTGTCCTTTCTAGTGAGGTGAGTCTCTTGAAGGCAATAGATTGTTGCCTGGTGATGTTTTATCCATTTTGTCATTCTATGTCTTTTCAGTGGTGCATTTAGTCTGTTCACATTCAAACTAATTATTGAGATGTGAGAGTTGATCCCTATCATAATGTTCTTACAGAGTTTTTGTTCTTCCTGTTTGTGTGTTGTCTTTCTTTTGGTTTTAGAGTTCGATCATGTGTGTGTTTTTAATCTTTTGTCTATACTCTTGTGAAGAATGTTGTTGTTCTTTTTTCCTTTTCTTCTGTGTTCAATAGTTTCTTAAGTGTTTCTTGTAGTGGTGGTCTGGTGGCAGCGTAGGTTCTTAGGGATTGGATATCTGGGAAAGATTTCCATTCTCCCTCACTGATGAAGCTTAGTTTGGCTCCTTAGGTTATTCTCAGTTAACATTGTTTATCTTTTAGAACTTTGAAGATAGGGCTCCAAGCTCTCCTAGCCTGGAGGGTTTCTGTAGATAAATCTGCTGCTATTCTAGTTGGTCTTCCCTGGTAGGTAGTCTGACCTTTTTCTCTTGCAGCCTTTAGGATTTTTTATTTTATACCTACTTTATTTAGGCAAATTATTATGTGTCTGGGAGTTGGTCTTCTCATTTATTGTCTTGAAGGGGTTCTCTGAATCTCTTGTATTTGAATTTTTTCATCCTTGATGAGATGAGGGAAGTTTTCTTGAATATTCCATGAAATGTTTGTTCCAGTGTGGCCTCTGTTTCTCTCTCTGCCTCAGGAAGCCCAATTACTCTTAGGTTTGGTCTCTTGAAGTGGTCATTCATCTCTTGAAGGTTTTGTTCTGTCTTTTTGGGTTTCTTTTCTATGCTTTTGACAGTTTGGGCTAGTTCTGTGTTTGGACTTTGCCCTCTAAGATTCTTTCTTCTGCTTGGCTAATTCTGCTTTCCATACTTATTAGTTTGTTATTTATTTCCATCACTGTATTCTTTACTGCTGTTATTTCTGACATCAGCTCCTTCCTGTTTTCCTCTTGTCTCTCCTCAATTTTTAAAGTTCTCTCTATTAATGTCTTGATGTCTGGGTTTGTTGCATGTGACCAGCCATTCTGGGGGCTCTTCATTGTTTGTGTTCCAGAATCTGTTTTCCAGTGTCTGATCTCCCAGGGCTCTGTGTGAGACCTATATTCTTCTTTTGGTTTTTCTTCATTTGTGCAGTGTTTCCCCCTCTCTACTTTTCCTTTCCCTCCACGTCACCATCTTCTTTAATTCTGTTATTCAGGTGTGGAGGGGTTGTTTTTACTTCTGTTTGTTTAATCTCCTATTCTTCTTTATGTATGTCCTCCTACTTTGTTCAATTCTGGAGTTGCACTGTAGGTTGTGGGTGGTCCTTTTTGCAGTTTTGAATTTTATTTAAAGGGGGAGCTGTGATTCAGAATCTATCTGCAGGTCCTGGTATCCACTGACAGGTGTATGAATAATCTGAAACCCACTTCCCACTACCTTGGAATCTGTCTGTGTAGTGGCCTTGTAGGTTTACTCCCTGAAATAAAATGCAGTTAACAGAGGGAAGAGAATGGTGCAGGCAGGGAGTGGGGGGTGGAGAGAGAGAGAAGTAAGGGTGAAAACAGACAAGAGTACCAACAAATGGAGAGACAAAAATTGAAACATATAAAAACAATAGACCACGGCTACAAACTAACCAACTCCCACACACAAAAAAACCGAATACACAATGTTGCTAACATACAAGCTTACCAACCTCCTTATTGTTGTGCTATTCCTCTATACAAAGATATGGCTTACAGAGAGAAGAAAAAAAAGGAGAAAGAAGGAGAAAAAAAGGGGGGGAACAAAACAAGGAATAGAATCAAGTCAGTAGACTAACAGAACCAATCAAGCACACTCTGAGATTTTTTGTTTAAGTTGAATGTCCTTTCAGCTCTGATTTCTAGCTGTCTTTTCAAGCTGGTAAGTTTGTTCAAGGTTAGGATCAGTTGACCCTGGCCTGCTGTGAAGGGCAGTTCAGATCATCATTCAATTCACCACTGCCTCGTTCACTACTCAGATCTGACCTGTGTCTGTCAGGCTTCCATTTTTCCCCTTTCGGTGTTATTACCTTGAATCGCCAGCAGGTGGTGTTATTCCTCGCTCCAGATGGTCTTTATCACAGCTGCTCGCCCCGCCCCTAAGGGGAGGGAGGTGTTGCCTGGAGACACACAGGAGGAGACCCACAGCCTGGCAGGACATCCAGTGGTAGTAGACCTCAGTAGATCTTGCTTGCAGGGGCTTCAAGGTCTGACGTCGTGAATCGCCTCAGGCGTGGGCCGTGCCATGTGTAATGGCTGCCTTGGCGGTGGCGGCTGTGGCTCACCTCAGGCACTGATGGTCCGATGTGGAATGGCTGTGTTGGCGGTGGTGGCAGCAGTGGTGGCAGCAGCGGCGGCAGCAGCGGCTGGCCTCAGGCACAGGTGGAGTGATGTGTCGTAAAGTTCTTTTAAAAAGCAATCAACCTGGTAAAAGATGAGACATGAAGCTGACTCTTTGCTTCATCTGGAATGAAAAGGAACACATAACTTTTTAGTATTAGATATAAACACAGAAAGATAGAAAGTCATGCCTATCTTGGTTAAATACAGTGGACTTATTTTCTCTTTTTTTCTTGGAAACTCTACTCAGTAGTAAAGATGCTGCTTAAATTTTACTTTTGAAATAAAAACTCACCCATGCTAATAGACTAAACTCCCTCTTCTATAGCTCTGGTCTTACCCACCTATTTGACTCATAGCCTCTCTCTATATATACACACAAGATGATATAGATTGGAGATTATGTATATAAATTCCAAAATACCAGAATTATTATTTTTTTGGAGGATGGGCCCATTGTAATACAGGTTTCCCCCTCTAGGTAAATGTTCTAATAATCCATCAGCATCAGTGTCCCATGTAGCATTGTTGTAAGACGCTGTGAGAGGCTTCAGTTAATATTTTTTTGGAGAGTCTTTCCACATGTTTGCTCATTTCATTATGAGTGATTTATGAGTGCACCTGCCCACACTGTCCTGAGTGTTCAGCAGTTTTTGACCAAAAATGACATGAACCCCCACCCCTCCACCTATTTACCTGATCTCATCCTGAGCAACTTTTTTTTTGCTGCCCCAGATGATAAAAGTCCTCAGAGGGAAACGTTTTGCCAAAGTGGAAGAAGTGAAACAAAAACCAGCAGAAACTCTAAAAGCCATCAAAATCAACAAGTTCAAAAACAGTTTTGAGCAGCAGAAAAGCATCTTGGTAGTTGTATTACATCAACCAGAATAAATACACAATTTTTTATAAATAAATTTTGGGGTTTTTTGGGTCCCCCCTTATATTTTGTTTGGATTCAAGATTGTTTTATGTGGTGTGAATTTAACACCTTCCATGAATAGTTTTTGTTTATTTTCTTTCTTTAAAGAGAAGCATTTGAAAACTTATTAAAAATCTATGAAGAGTTTGGGGTTCAGTGCAGTCATTTGCTAAGGAGAAGGGATACCATGGATTCCTTAAAGAATGGGAACTTCGACATGGTGATAGTTGAAGCTTTTGACTTCTGTCTTTTCCTGATTGCTGAGAAGCTTGGGAAGCCATTTGTGTCCATTCTCCTCCCCCCACATTTGGCTTTGTGGACTTTGGACTACCAAGCCCCTTGTCTTATGTTCCAGTATTTGGTTCCTTGGTGACTGACCACATGGACTTCTGGGGCCGAGTGAAGAATTTCCTGATGTTCTTTAGTTACATTAGGAAGCAATGGCAAATGCAATCTGTGTTTGACAACACCATCACGGAGCATTTCTCAGAAGGCTCGAGGCCAGTTTTGTCTCATCTCCTATGGAAATCAGAGCTGTGGTTTGTGAACTCTGACTTTGCCTTTGATTTTGCCTGGCCCCTGCTTCCCAATGCTGTTTATGTTGGAAGCTTAATGGCCAGACCTATTAAACCAGTATCACAAGTAAGTGAACCCTCAGCACTCAGTTTGGGCTTCACAGGAGTCCTTCAGTTCACAGTAGATGGATAACCCCAGCTAGTGGGATCTTGAAACTGAGGTAGGGTGAGACAAGGGAGAACCTAGGGCATGCCTTTTAAGGAATTACTCACTGTCATGACTGTGCAAGAACAGTGAGGCTTTGGGATATCCTGAGATTGAAGGTCTTCTTACAAGGTCGCCTGTGCTCCCTTCTTGCCTTATCCTAGTCCTAGCCTCAGAAATATAAGCCTGCTATTTTCGTTGTGATTACATTGATCATGTCTACACTAAATATGTAGTTTGTGCCCATTATATGGAGGGATGGATGGAGGGACAGATGATAGGTGGATGGAATTGGTACAAATGCCACACTAAATCATCTGGTATATACAGTCGCAAGAAATTCTTTACTGTGTACTGTCCTACTTATGCTATAAGCATGAATGTATTTCTATAGAAAGTGGCAGGTGGTTCTTTCTGGGACTTCCTTGCAACAATTGCAAAGGAGATGAGTTACTCACAATGAAACAGACAACACCACCAGATAGAGAGTAAATCAGGGTGGGACTATATTAGACTGAAGGCAAGAACTGCAGGTGTTGTCTCCAGTGTCCCCTGCCTGTAAATCCCTGGCTTGCGGCTCCACCTAGGCCTCCAGTTTCATCTTTCTCTGTGGGCCCTCAGCCAGTGTAACTTGTAAGTGCTGTCCAGGTGATCTGAATGCACAGCCCAGACTCAGAACTGGTACTTACAGAAGTTTTTAGAAGGGAGAAAAGTTAAGATTAACTGGCCGCCTGTTGTCTATCAGTCCTGGGTTGCCATTTTACAGAACTTACTGTGTATTATATCCTGCCACCCATAGAAAGTTGTGATAATTTCTGTTTTTGTAAATGAAGGAGAACAGTCCATCACCACAGAGTCCAGAGGCCCTGAGGCCTGGGCTTTCAAGGCAGCAAAGTGTCTACCCTTCCTCCTTTGACCTTACATTGTGTGAGCAGGAAGAGTTGAGGAATGATCCATGGGTGAGATGGGCTGTGTCAGTGGAAGGTTTTAGGAGTGGAGCTGAGAGGGAAACACTGCAGGTAGCGAGAGCAGGTGGCCCATGTGTGGAAGCAGAAATAATATGGCCATGAGTCTGGGTTGCCTGCATGACGCAGGTTAGACTACAGTAGTGGAAGTTTCAGTTGCATGAATAAAGCCATAGTGTTTTACCAGAGGCCTTTGTTATTAGGAGGGTGGGTCAGGCCTTGGCCAATAAGGAAAGGAATTATTATGAGGGTGATAATGACAGTAATGACTGTAATAACTGTGAGACAACATATGCTTTTTTTGAAACACATTTTCTTCTCTGCATTTTCCAATGTTTATGTAATGTTCTTTTGTTGTTTTTGTAATTTGAAAGAGGATGACAAGGCTGTTTTAAAGTGTTGTGAAGCTATGCTGGGTGAAATCCAGTAGGGACTGATTTACCTAGTAAGATGAGGGATCAGGAGCTGGGGGGAGCCGCACAAGTGCATGGAGAATCAAAATCTAAAAAAATTTTGGAAGTAAGAGTTGACAGAACTGTGTTAAAACCCAAGATTGAGATATTAGATATTAATTTTCCTTAAGAACTGGTTGGGGTAATGTAAGCTGCCCAGGTCTGCTATTGGGACAGGGTATTGCTGCTCTTTTCAAAATCTCCCCATGTGATTATAATTTGCAGTCAGGTGGATGAACCACAGAGATAGAAGATGAAGTATGTACAAAGATCAGTGACCAAAAATATCATGGAATATCAGAGGTCAACACGCTTACTGACACACATCACATGTGGATGGCAGTAAGCCTTAGCGTATTCTGCCTACATTTCTTCTTAGGATAGTGATATTTTCCTAGCTTCTTCATCCAGCCTCCAGAAGTCCCACTTCCCAGACTGGACCCTAAAATCTGCCACTGATACTTTTCTTAACACTACCTCTTCTGACCTGGTATTGGAATACTCCTATGACTTCTTGAAGCTAGAATGGGTGCAGGGTCAAGGATGGCCATGATTCTGGCCCAGAGTTTTAAAAAGGAAAGATGTTCCCATGAACACAATGACCATGAGCCCAATGCAGACGGTGCTGAGCTGTATCAGGACCCATGACGACAGTTTTAGGACAGTGAGCACAAGGCACTGATAGAGGGTGTATTAGTAAATAGTTTTTCATTTTATGGCTGCCTAGGCTTTTATAAACTACTTTGTCATGTCTTTTCCTTTGTTACCTCTCTCCAGGACTTGGAGGACTTCATCACCAAGTTTGGGGACTCTGGTTTTGTCCTTGTGGTCCTGGGCTCCACAGTGAGCCACTATCAGACCCAGGAAGTTCTCAAGGAAATGAACAGTGCCTTTGCTCACCTTCCACAAGGGGTCTTATGGAAGTGTCAGCGTTATCATTGGCCCAATGATGTCAACTTGTCCACAAATGTGAAAATTGTGGAATGGTTTCCTCGGAGTGACCTCCTGGGTAAGGGCTTCTCAGGTCTGCTTCTCTTTTTCTGTTGACCTGGGCTTTGAGCATTAGCCAGATATTTGCATCTGCCTGACAGGTGTGGCTAAGATTTAAAAAGAAAAAGTGGCCAGCTGTAGTTCTTGGGAAATCAGGCTACACTTCCAATGTGATCAGATGCCAAGACAACCATCTTTCCTCTATTTTTATAATCCCTGGTCTAGTGTGTGAATGCAGAGGTGATAGTCCCGTCAAGTACCATTAACCCTACTGTATTTGTTCTTGGACAAGGTCACTCAAACAAAATCTGAGAAAACGTTGGAACTCTGAGAATATATACAGGAGCTTGGGGGTGTGGCCAGTCTCTTTAGTGACACTGATGCCAATGGTGTCTTTAGCATATGCCAAAATATCTGTGTTTCAAGCTCAGAAAATTCACAGTTGGTGATTTGCTCCATTGAGTTATCTGGTATAGAGAGCTCCTTCACTCCCAACAGATTGTCTGTGTTCCCAGTGCTGCTTCTTAGAGACACCTGACTGTTATAGCCACTGACTACAGCAGAGGCTCATAACTGGGAATATGGCTTGAAATAATCTGGTGGATTTAAGAAAGAGATTCCTTGTCTCACTTCTGTAAATGAATCTCTTTAATTCTGGAGTGGGTTGGACATATGATTCCAATTTCCAATAAGATACGAGGAGGGTCTGGTGTACATTGCAGTTGAGTGACACAGGTTGAGATGTACCTTTCATTATCAACACTTTACTTAGCTCTAAATAATGTTGAAATAGAAAGAAAGGAACTGGAAATGTTGAGGTTTAGGTTTCAGTCTGCTTTCAAAGAACTTCTCATAAATTAAGGACATCATTCAATCAGTAAGATTTTTGGGTGACACATGGGTTGTGATGTCAATGCATATATTGGGAATGAAAATAAAAGGAAAATTAGTTGTCACTTTTGGGGGGCCAGCCCCTGAAAAGAGAGTTAGGAGGTCCCTTGGAAGGTGTGATGGCGTCGGTGATTCATAGGGATAGATATTAAAAGAAAGAAAGAGACTGGGGGAGAAAGAAAGAAGCTGGACTCTGTCTAGTACAGAAGCCATTTATTGGGAGTTTACAGCGTGTGTTTATTCCCAAATTTTACACAGGCAGTCTTACAAGTCTTTCACGTGAACACGTGCAGGAGGGGCGCCCCCCCCCACCCACCAGGTGTTTCCTCAGGCATGAGGAAGAACAATCCCAATTAAATCACAAAACCTTTACATGAACACAAAGCCAGGTGAGTGAGGGGCATCCCTCACCCACCAGGTGTTTCCTGGAGTATGAGGAACGGCAATCCTGATTAAATCACAAGACATTTACATGAACATAGAGCCTGGTGGATGAGGGGAGTCCTCCCACCCACCAGGTGTTTCCCCAAGCATGATGAATGGGGATCCCAAAACTATCTCACTCTTCCTCATGCTTGGTTAATATTTCTTAAAAGCAATACAACAATTCTAATATCATAATATTCTAATAATCAATAACTTTTAAAACCTATGCATACACAGCACCTAATAACCAACCTAAATCCCAATTCCTCTCTATTTTATGCTAATTCTACCTACACTATAGAAACTCTTAATTATAGCCCAAACCAATTCCTAAGGAATGTGGCTCAGTCAAAAGATCATGCTGGGCTGTTTCTGGGAACAATTGATTACAATCTCTTAACAAAATGGCTGTTCCAAAATCCTATAAATCTATTTTAACTTTTATAAAAGTTTCTAATTCCTAATCCTGATCATCAGCAATAAAGCGTCTAAAAATAAAACCCAAGTATAAACTGTAAATTATATTAAAGCCAAAACCGCAAATGTAGAAGATGGAAACAATGTAATTTCTAAAATTAGCTGTATTCTTATTAAACCTCAAACTATCATGTTTGATCATGCTTGAACTGACATAATTCACTGACGTAGCATAACCTATTCTACAACACTTCCTATGAATAAAATAAATTCAATTTCTATTATAAGTAGAAAAGACCCTATACTAACTGTAGCTAAAACCCGGTTTAAAAGAAAGCAGCCTAGTTCAAAGTATGCACTGGGCCCTTAGGAATGTGGTCCAGCCCAAAGTTCGTGCTGGGCCTTTGGGAATGTGGCCCAGCCCAAAGTTTGTGTTGGGCCATTTCTAGTAGCTCTAGATATTTATCTGTATTTTTAAGGTTGAAACAGCACTTTGTATGTATATACTAATTCTACAAATATACTATTAAATCTTAAAAGAAGCTTGTACCATATTAAAGGCTCCCAAATGTGACCTGAGGTTGAATTATGTTAAGTTTAAAGCTGAAACCGCAGTCTGTGAGAAACGGGAACAATGGACTACTAAAGTAAGCCATGCCTGTCGTACTCTTGGAACTTCATGCTTAGAGCATCAAAGTCCCTGCTAGTGGGTCATGCCAAACAACAAAGAAGGGAAGAGGGAATGGGCCTTCAGCTCCTGAACTCATCCTAGTGGTCTCAGGGTCAGCAGCCTGCCTGGATCCCTAATGCTCAGGTGGGCCTCCACAGCTGGCTCCCAACAGTCACTGGATAAAATAGAACTCAAGACAGAGAAGACAGAGAAGGCGGAGACAGAGAGAGAGAGAAACACACACAGGAAGAATATAGAGATGAGAGAAACAAGAGAGGCACTGGAGATCAGAGAGAAGGAAGGATGAATAGATAGAGATATATGCCTCACTTAACTCTCTTCTCATTAAATTCCCTGGGTTTTGAGTCCTAGCTGGGTTTCTGGCTGAGATGAGAAGTCTCTACACGAAGGCCAGGCTTAGAATCTTACATCCTGGAACTGTGCCCTTAGATGTGCTCCAACAAAAGTCAGGCTACAGGACAGCTCCAACACACTTCGAGATCCTCTTGGCATTTTCTTATGTCCTTCCTGCTTTGCCTTGTGTTCTGAAACCTTGCATACTAAATGTTCCACCAACTTTCTGGTTTGCAACAGCTCACCCCAAAATTCAACTTTTTGTCACTCATGGGGGACAGAATAGCATCATGGAGGCCATTCAGCATGGTGTGCCCATCGTGGGAATCCCCATATTTCTAGATCAGCCGACAAACATGGTCCAAGTAGGGGCCAAAAAGTTTGGTGTCTCTATTCAGTTACAGAAGCTCAAGGCAGAGACGCTGGCTCTCAAGATGAAACAAATCATAGAAGACCAGAGGTATGCATCTCTTTGGGGTTGAGGTCACTTAGGCTGATTGGAGTCATAAATACTAAGGGCACTATCTGGACTTATTTTTTTTTTTTGAGTTGGAGTCTCACTCTGTCACCCAGACTGGAGTGCAGTGGCCACTCCCGGCCACTGCAACCTCAACCTGCTGGGCTCCGGCGATCCTTCTACCTCAGCCTTCCGAGTAGCCGGAATTACAGGCGCGCGCTACCACGCCCGGCTGATTTTTGATTTACTGTAGAGATGAGGCCTTGCTGCCCAGGCGGGTCTCAAACCCGCGGGCTCAGGCAATCCACTCACCTCAGCCTCCCAAAGACGTGGGATTACAGGCTGAGCCACCGAGCCCGGCTTGGACTTATTTTTAATAAAAACTTTTTTTCTAGATATAGAATAATATGTGTGTGATGCTAAGAGCTGACGTGTACTCTGAGAGCAAGACTAGAGACATTTCAGTTAGATGCTGAGAAAAATTGCCTTTCTATTCTCCAAATACTCCACACTCTTCTCCCCCTTGGCCTTTGGTTTGTGTTGCTCCCTTGCTCTCATTCCCACCTCTTCATGAAGTGACTTCTTCATTACATTTGGATCTCATCTCTCACTTGATTCTTCTCAAAGTTCATCTCTGGTAGTCCCAAGTAGGCTCTTCTCTCACCCACACCAATGATATAATTTTCTTTCAACATTTCTCAGGGTCTGTAATTAGCTCATGTGTTTTATTTTCATCATACTCTATTCCCCCAAACTACAGCATAGAGAGACAGTTCCACAAAGACAGCAGCTTATGTCTTTGTTTTCCACTGTGTTCCTAGCTCAGGGCCTGCCGCCACATTAGCAGTTAATGAATTTTGGTTCATTGAGGAAATAGAAGGGGCCAGGTGACCTCCAAAGGACCATCTAGCAAAACGATCTCATGTGAAGAGAAAAATACCTTTTTCTTTTTCAGATAACTGAGAAGAACTGAATAACTTATTAGCACTTCAAGGGAAGAAACAAGAATCTGATCTCAAGGCTTAACATATTACCTTGCACATAGTTGATACTCAGGCAGTTGTAGTTGAATATCTGAAAATAACCACATAGCTCATTTTTTTAGCTCTAGAAAAGTTGTTTAGTGCCAGTGGTTGTATACTCTCCCAGTCAGTTATATAAATTTGTAGTTTCATGTGGTGTGGATGTTCATTTTCTGCGTATTGGGTTTGTAGCATTTGCTGGATTTTCGACAATCTAGACTCAAAGTGGCCATGATCCACTGGCCTCTGTGAAGGAATAATTGTGGGCTGGAATGGTCTCAGATATTGTGCGTCACTAGGGCCATAATCACAATTTGTGGGACCCGGTGTAGAATGAAATTGTGGGGCGACCTATTATAAAGGTTAAGACTATCATGATGGTGGCAGCAGAAAATTTAATCAAGCACAGGATGTAACTGTGTGGTGCAAATATGCAAACTGCAGTTGAGGAAGCAGAAAAGTGCAGATCTTGTCCTATGCCTGGCAGTTCCCAGAGTGATGTTTTTCACCTGGCTGGCACAAAGTATGTGCTCCATGTATACATCTAATAATTACATCATAGATAATTTTCCTACTGTATAGCATAAGCCTTCTTATAGGAGGGACTAGTCTTAGACATTTAGTCACTTTTTTGGTTGACCAATTTGACATTAAGCATAGATCTTAAGATGTAGGTATCATAATAGAACTTTTCATGGAGACCCACTAGATTATTGCAAAGCCAGGCATACAAAATTTCCTTGAAACTCAGTCTCTGGTGCATCAAATAGAAAAACACGACACATTCTAAGTCTTGTGAAGCCACTTCAGTAACACACCCCCCCTCTGTCTTGCCAACAGGTACAAGTCTGTAGCAGTGGCCGGTAGTATCATCAGGTGCTCCCACCCTCTGAGCCCCACTCAGTGGCTGGTGGGCTGGATCGATCACATTCTTCAGACAGCACACCTCAAGCCCTATGCCTTCCAGCAGCCCTGGCATGAACAATACCTGCTTGATGTCTTCTTGTTCCTGCTGGGGCTCACCCTGGGCACCACGTGGCTTTGTGGAAAACTGTTGGGTATGGGGGTCAGGTGGCTACGTGGGACCAGAAAGCTGAAGGAGACCTGAGGACAGTGCAGCCTTGAGGGGGTGTGCTTGGTGGACTGTGTCATCATTCCTCACAGGCTTCCACCAGTTCTGGCAACCCTATTCTCCACTCATATGCACTTGCTAATTTTGCTGCAAATTCCTCCTAACTAGCTTCTTCCTGTTGCAGAATTCTATACCCAGGACTCTTGTTCTTTATTTGCTATTCAGCAAGGGTGGTGCTATGATTCTATCTCTGAGTGACCTGGACTACCTATCCTCAAATTTCCAGCCTTGAAGCTTGTTCTCCTCATCCCCTTATCTGAATCGGGGAGCCTGACCATGGCAGCCTCCATGACCAAGACCTCAGCCTCCCTCCCTCACTCTTGACCTCACCACTTGTCATAATAACACCTAAGAAAGGAAACTGGCAAATTCTTTTGTTTTCTGTTGACTTCCCCTGCCTGTTATCCTTAGTGCTCAAGAAGTCTGTCCTGGCATGTAAGTTCAGGTTCAGTCACACCCTGGCTTCTTTCCACACTGGGTGCTGGCAAAGAGCTCCTTCTTTGCTGGTCAGACTTAGAGACTGTGGGTGTTCAGATTTTCCAGAAAGTAAAAGTTTTTGCAGTTATATCTCTCTTCCTCCTCTCTCTACCCCTCTACACATAGGCCAAGGGACTTACATCTTAGTTGCCCAGAATTCTGACCTCTGGCAGCTAAAGCCAATAAAGGGAAGTTGGCTATATTCTGCAGAAGAGGCTGGCAAGAACCAAGGGAGCTGAAAGTGAGTGTGGGGTGTACATCTGTAGTGTTTGAAGAACATGGAAAATGCCAAGGAAACCTTCCAGCCTACTTAACCTGTTGAAGCAGAATCTTTTGATATTTAGTCTGTCCTTTATTTATGCACTGAAGCAACAAGCAATCTTGTACTTGATGAAAAATAAAAACTTCTGTTTCTTGGTTACAATCTCTGGCTAGGCACTGACTTGTTCTCAATAACTTTCTAAGTGTGATGGGCACTGCAGGAAGGGAGACGAGCAGATAATTTCAACAATGGAGCCCCAACCCTCCATTCTGTGTAGATAAGAAGAGGGAATGAAATTGGTTTTTTTTTTAATTCCAAAAACAGCACAGAGAGGGCTGTGTGTCATCCCTGCAGGGAGTGTTGCCACATCTAGTGGGCACTAAACCTTAAGTAGTATAAGAAGGATGAAAACCACACTATTTAGTGTTCTGTAGAAAATATGATTTATAGATGGATTTTCTTTTCAGTCATTATGGCTCTGAAATGCTTCCTGTGCAATGGATTTTGTACTAATGCATAGGACAGATATATCTTCTTCAAAATGTCCTTACTTAAGTCTTACTGAGAGGCGTTAGAATTGATCTGAACATTCATGGGTACTGTTCCCTTATTAAGCCTACCCTACTCTTTGCTAATTCCTTCCTTTTAGCTGGCATTAAGGAAAATACTGAGGTAGGTATCAGGGTGGATAAAATGGAGCATGGCACAGGGACTTTCCCTTTGCTGGGCCTCTCACAATCTGTATGTAATTAGATGCTATATGAACTATAAAGATCAATAGGAAAGTAAAATAAAACCTCCATCACCCATCTTGGTTCTCTTACTTAAAAAAAAAAACAAAAAACCGATTGTAACAAAACTATCTCTTGAATTCCTGTTACAGGCCTGGTGGACAGCTAATGAGTCCAAGAAAAATCATACTTGTGAAGGAGGTTCACTGTGCATGGGTAACCAGTTTGTCTGATTCTGTGAGACAGAACAGCACACACAGAAGACAGATAAAGTAAGTTTAGTGGCCTAAGATAATTAAGTCTCTAAATGAAGCCAAAATATAGAGGATGAGAAACTAGAATAAGTGGGAGGAATAAAAACATGGTAGATTCAAGCCTATGTACTCCAGTTTAAATAAAAGATTGACAGACCACGGAAGCCCAGTTTAAACTTCTCAGCTGATTGCTGCTTCATAAGCTACATCTAAAATGTAAGGGACATAGGAGGGTTGAATATAAAAGGATAAGAAAAGATAGGTCTTTCAATTAATGCAAAATACAATTTGAATAGTTAGTAATAATATCCAGCAAAATAAACCTAGGTTGAAAAGCATTACTAGAGACAAAATTGCCACTTTCATAATGAAAACTCACAGTTTTGCTGGGAAAGTGTAATACCTGAAACTGCGATTGTTAATACTTATGTATTTCATGAACGGGTTTATGGTGTATAGAGCAATGATTGCCATAACAACAAGGAAAAATATAATCTTAACAGGAGATTTAAAACATTTTAATGAGTAGAAACATTTTAATGAAAACTTAACACATTCATAAAAGTAGATCTTCTTCAAGCTCAGCATTTAGCTTCAGTGATTACTAACACCTGGCAAATTATCTTTTCTTTCTGTTCCCACCCACTTCTGAGCTTCTTCACCACTACCAAGTCATCATGAGTCTTCATCGCTAAATGTTTCATAATGCACTATAAGAGAAGAGGAATTTATTTTTATATAACCAAAATAACATAGAGCTCTTCTCCAAAGTAACCATAACCACTTAATATCATTAATTTTGTGTTCACATAAATTTGCCACATATAATATTTTAAGAATATTTTGAATCATCTTACTAAGATGTTAATACTCCTGATAACCGACTCTTCATATCAGTTGTCCTGTCTGCTTTTTCTCAGTAATATTTGTCATTAATATAGTAGAAATTTTATTTATTAGTGTGTTTAGCATTTTTCTTCCCAGCAGAACAATAATTAGCTTTCAATGCAATTGTTGAATGAATAAATAAGTTTGAAGCTTGACGAGTCCTTTATTTTGCATTACGGAAAGTACAGGAATAATAGATGAACCAGTCAACCTCTCTCCTCCTGGTCAATCTCTCTTCTTCCACACCTTTCCCTCCCTCTTCACAGTGGACATGACTATGTGAGAAATGAACAAATGTATAAGAAAGTAGCGCTTTAAATTCAGATGAAAAATAACATTTGGAGACTGAAGATGGTAATAGTACAAACAGAATTCAAGGGCTCAATTCACCATAGACATGATTCATTGGAAGATTTCTCTGCCTGATTCGAGTTACACTGAAAGCCCTTCCTAAAGCGAGTCTTGGTTTGAAGATGGAGAGGCACGGGTGATGAACGACCCTAGTGATGCCTGCATTCCCCGGGGGCCGACATTACAAGGGGGCAAAATTACAAGTTATCTTAAGTTTGTGTACTGGAAGGTTATGGAAAGAATCCCAGTTCTATTGTTCTGTTTTAGGACATTCATAATTGCCATCTCAGCTTTAGAATTTCAGTCCTCCAGGTGCAGATCAGGACTTTTTAGGACACTACCCCATCTACCCCATCTTCATGAATGGTACTGTATTGCAGCAGCCTCAGATCATACAGAGTGCTTGCGTAATATTTACCTATTCTGAAGAAATTAACTGGAGGATAGGTTGGTAAAGACAAGGATTTATTATTACTTATGGGAGGGAAACAATGGCAGCTGGTTGGTATAAGGTTTTCCACATTCCAATAGATGTGGGGAGAGATTATATATCCCCAGTGTGGGAAAGACAAGACGAAAGTCTTGAGTTTGCAGATAGGATGCATAACTTTTTAAAATTAACCTTTAAATTGTTTATTTTAAAATTGCGGGGTACAATTCAGGGTTAGGTATACAAATATTCATTGTGCAGGTATGCATATCTTAAGGGCATTCAACAGACACAGATGACTTTGGCCAGGGGCCATCCTCCCAGTCAGAGGACAGTTATCAGGAGGGGAGAGGGAGAGGGCACATGTTCTGTATTTACCCCACATCCCATCCTTGCTTCTGGCAGCTCCATCCTTATAATCTTCACGTAACATTTGTCTTCTGGATGTTCCCTGGAGTGGAGAAATGGGTTATACATTGTATTCAAATCCCAAAAATACAATACAGTTCATAGATACCAAAGAGCAAAGTATCTATGATTGTAACAATACCTATTTTAACTTTCTTCCACATTGACATAAGAGAGGAAAACCAGCCAGCCAAAGAGTCCTGAGCCATGGTATAGGTGGCCTTGAATTCAGGATGCATAGCAGTTAAGGCAGTAGTTAGATGGTACAGGTTTCTCTCTGTGCATCTGTTAGTATGTCCATGGTAGGCTGGACTTAGGGCATTTCTAGCTGACCCAGCAGGCTGATTGATTGTGAACTTGTGCCAAAGTCACTGTCCATTGCAGGTAGGTGTTTCCTGTAAACAGAATGAAAGGTAGGAACCCTGAGGATTTTAGAATGGAAGAACTGTTGTCTCAGTCCTAGCCCTGTCATGTATTGCTGAGCCATTCAGTTGACCAGCCTATTCTTTCACCTCTTAATCATCAGAAGTAAAACCAGCCTCCCAGGGTTAGGACCTGGTAATTATTTCAGGCCTCTTAAGCATGTCTAGCCCTAATTATTCTTCTAGGCATCTATGTTTCCTGCAATGATGTATTGTTAATAGTCTTCTGTTACCAGCCTCCAGTCCAGTCTCTGGCCCACTACCTGGAATCACAAGATAGTGGTGCCTGGGGAGGTCTAGAAACAAGACTTTTGTGACTTCTGTTATCTACATCAAAGAATACAACCTGCAACTTTCTTTCCTCAGCCCAAGAGACCCTTAAATATATCCAGCCTATAGGTCTTCAAAGCCGCACTTGCCTATTGAGTGCCGGCCCTTTCTGACTGTGGAAAGTGGATAATAAACTTTACTTCCTTCTCCTTTGCAATTCTTTGCATTATTCCCATGGCACTGGTCCATCTTGCTTCAGTTTACTCTTTCACAGACTAAAGGTGATAAGAGAGATGTTTAACAGGTACCAACAGAGGCAAGTTATGTTTGTCAGGCAGTACATGTGCAACAGTTTTGTCCTGAGGTAGGATAGTTTGATCCATCGAAACATGACAAAGGGGAATATTTTTAATTAAAAAAAAAATATTTCCCCACCATGGGGACAGTAGAGTGCACCTGTGTGGTTTGCTTTGTATGTCCCAT